TGTTTGTGCAATATTCAATATTTCACCTCAAAAGTTTTATCATCATTGACTCATCCTCTTATCATTCCAAACCTTTCCAAGACTTACTTTCTTCATTGGATCACAAAAGGATATGTTTAGTAGATTGTTCAAGTTGCGCTTTTCCATATATTAAAAATATGTTCCAAGTTCTAAATCTAGTGAATTGTGCTATATTTTAAGTCTGTATGTATAATACAGCATGTAGGCTATGCAGTATATATAATACTGGAGCTTGACAGCCCCAGTTGTTGTCTACTTTCTTTATTTGGAAAAGAACATCTTGGACATTCTGCTAAACATGTTGCATTATATTATATTATATTATATTATATTATATTATATTTGCTTATGTTTATTTGTTTTATTTTTGTATTGTTTTTTTTTTTCATTTTGTGTTGTTTTTTTTTTCTTCCTTTGTGAGTGTTTAGTTTAGTTTTTTGTTTAATTCCATTTTTTTTCTGTTGTGTTTTTGGTCCATTTTGTGTTTTGTTTGTTTGTTTGCTTGTTTCATTTCTGTTTTTTTTTGTCTTGTTTTGTGTGTGTTTTGTTTTATTTGTTTAGTTTCTGTTTTGTTGTTGTTGTTTTGTGTGTTTTTGTGTGTGTGTGTGGGGGGGGGTGTTGTTTTTTGTTTGTTTGTTTTGTTTTTATATTTTATATAACATATACATTTTACAAAACATGTTTACCTCCTAATCTTCAAGAAAATCAAAGCCAATCATCTGAACAAGTTTTGTGCCAAATGTTAGGTTGATATCTCAAAAAAATTAACTTTTAAAGTGCACCTATTATGCAAAATTCACTTTCACATGTTGTTTGGACAAAAATGTGTGTTGGCAGTGTGTGTACACAACCACCCTATAATGATAAAAATCCACCCACTCCTTTTTTTTAATCTCCATATATCAATAGCAGCGTCTCAGAGCAAGCCGATCACAGAATCCGTAAAGTGTGACAAGCCCCACCCACGATTGTTGATTGACACTGCCATAAGCGTGCCGAGACACCGCCCTGAGTGAGCCGCACACAGTCCGACATGTTTATCGTCACGCTAGAGCAGGGGTGTCCAAACTCGGTCCTGGAGGGCCGGTGTCCTTAAGAGTTTAGCTACAACCCCAATTAAACACACCTGACCCAGCTAATCAAGCTCTTACTAGGCATACTAGAAACTTAAAGGCAGGTGTGTTGAGGCAAGTTGGAGCTAAACTCTGCAGGACACCGGCCCTCCAGGACTGAGTTTGGGCACCCCTGCGCTAGAGCATTTAAAAGCAGCATTCAAGTAAGAAATGTCTTCTTATTAAGGCTATAGACCTTATTCAGTCCAGAGCAGTAAGTGATTCACTGCTTTTATTTTATTCGTTGGATCATATTAATAGCATAGACAGCAGTATAGGTACTGTATATTATGCTGATGTCACTTAATACACAGATCTGATCTAATATAAACATGTGATTTCTTTCCCAGATGTTTACCTTCACAAAAAAAGCATCATATGACCCCTTTAATACAGATCTAATATAAACATGTGATTTCTTTCCCAGATGTTTACCTTCACAAACATAACCGACTGTGTTTTTGTAACTTGTGTGTGTTTTTAACATAAACTCGTGTGTGAAAGAGAACTTAGTTACTCACGTGCCGTGCGCAGCCACTTTTGCGTGCAATGGATGTTTGCGCTCAGAAAACCGTCTATCAAAAGTTTAAACTAATATGGTTTAAAACGCATGATTTCAGCGCGATAAACATGATAATCAGAACCAAAACATGTTTTTTAGCGGTTACGAGCTGTAATGGCACAGCTTTATTCTGGAAAAGGGGGCGGGGAACAGCAGCTAAGTTGCGTTTAAAGAGACAGACACGAAAAACAGCGTGTTTCTGCTTCCACTCAAATTAGGCATTTTCAAAATGATATAATAAATGATCTGTGGAGTATTTTGAGCTGAAACTTCACAGACACATTCTGGGGACACCTGAGAATTATATTACATATTGTAATATAGGGGCATAATAGGTGCCCTTTAAGTAAGATTTTGTGGATGCAGTACTAAACTTTTTCACTAGACGATATACAGGGACTCTTGATTTCCATTTATTGTATAAGTGTTCTGAACCATATATTTCCATATTTTTTTTTTAAGATTTATGAAGTAGACATCCTATTCAGAAATCGTTTGGGCAGCAACTTTAATATTTGATTTGAATTCAATCTCTAAAACAGAATCTATCGCTATTTATCTATAGCTCTGTCATTTCTTTGAAAAACAGTCACCTAATATGAAAACTAGAGTCTGAAACCTTTCAAATGATATATAGTTTGTCAACATTACTTTAGGTTTAGACCAAAATATTATCGTTAAAAAAATGTGTAATCACAAACATCCCACATGTGTGGGGGAGGGGCAGTCAAAAATAGTGGTTAAAACATTTTTATAAATCATAAATTCAGATATTCAATCTTTGTAATGTCTGTAATGTATTGATATTACAACTTAATTGATTGTATGTTTTTCTTTTTCATATAATAATTTTTGCATTGCTGTTCCCTGCACACTGTAAAGAACTCTATATTACTAAACTATTATATCTCCCACTTATAAATAAAACAGAAAAGTAAATTATACAGGTTTGGATTGACATATGAGGGAGAGTAAACGGGCAGACGTTTTATTTTTAGATGAAGCATTCCTTAAAGACTTTTCTTTGATTTAAAGGAAACACAAGCGAAGTTTGGTTAGTATCATAACAATGGCAGCAACAGGTGTTACCTTCTTTTGGCTGAATACATTAATAGTGTTTGTCCTGCTGGCGTGAAAAGATGAAGTGAATTGTGCCAAGCGAAAGGAAGCTCCAGAGACGCTTAGTGCTGATGAGCCCAGTGCACAAGGGGAAAATTCTAATTTATGTAGAAACTTTGAAGAAATGAAAACTATGCTGCTCATGAATATTTTATCTGCTCCAAATGAAGCATGTGCACTCAAGCATCCGGCTTGACAGAAAACAATCCGAAAGACGTTTGTCACACAAATGTGTTCTATAAAGAATGATTGTGTTTCTGTGATTATTGCTGTCAATAGATGACAAATCCTCATTAGCATGTCTCTGGATGCTAATACTCACTGCACTCAAAGAGACAGTTCATCTGTCTAATACAGAGGTGAAAGAAGTGTAAAACAATCCGTTTAATATGAATAAATGTGTTTTTGCTATATTTTTGTTATTTAATGATATATAGAGATAGAAATAAATATCTAATATAATACAAAATAAATAAGGGGAATGTGCTAATATATTTTATGATTTTTATGATTAATATATGACCATCTATCCATCTATCTATCAGTCCATCTATCTAGCTAGCTATCTATCTATCTGTCCATCCATCTGATACAATGTACAATGTATTGCCCTGTAACGCTATATATTGTATATTTTTTATTATTACATTGCATGTAAGTTTAATAGTTTAGATGTTATTTTATGGCATTTTAATAATAACAATAAATATATATCAGCACATTCTCCTTATTAATTTAAATTGCATTATATTAGTATTTCACAGTAATAGTCATTTTTATTGTAATGTTTAGTGAATTTTTTTAGTTTAGTTATGTTTAGTTTTTGTATCATGGTGCAATTTTTATTGAAATTCGCAAATATTTAAGCCAGTTCAAAAAATACTAACATGATATTGTCACGAGCCAGGCTTGAACTCAGGTCTCTGGCATGGTAGTTGAGAGATCTACCACTAATCCACGGGAATGGTAATGTTGGACCCAAACGAAACACTTCAGGCAGTTTCCCAGGACATGTAGATTTATTTTTTTAAAAAGTCTTTGCAAGAAAAATACAAACTAACATGATATTGTCTCGAGCCAGGCTTGAACTCAGGTCTCTGGCATGGTAGTTGAGAGATCTACCACCAATCCACGGGAGTGGTAATGTTGGATCCAAACGAAACACTTCAGGCAGTTTCCCAGGACATGTAGATTTATTTATTAAACAAAGTCTTTGCAAGAAAAATACAACAAAAGGTCTTCTCGGACTGAGGTATTAACTACAGCAAAAATAATGGAAAAACCACATGTAAAAAGTCTTTGCAAGAAAAATACAACAAAAGGTCTTCTTGGACTGAGGTATTAACTACAGCAAAAATAATGGAAAAACCACATGAGAAAACAAAACCAGACACACGAGGAAGAACTAAGGCAGAGGAAAAAACGGGGGACCTCTAGGGGCACGGAGACAAACTACAGGAGTAGGATGCTGACAGATATACACATTTTACATTTTTAAATGATATTTTACAATGACAATGCAATTATTTATTTGTTTATTAAAATTGTTATTGATGTGTTTTTATTTTAATGTAGTAAAAATGATAGGGTGTAGATGTGTATAATATTGATTTTCACAATGCAAAAAATAATGGTTCCAAAAATAAGCATCCTTCAAGAAAAAAAATGTTTGTTTGTTTGTTTATTTATTTTTTATTTATGTGTGTGTGTGTGTACCTGGTATTTATCGCGTTATGGGGACCAAATGTCCCCACAAGGATAGTAATACTAGTAAATGTTGACCTTGTGGGGACATTTTTGAGGTCCCCATGAGGAAACAAGTTTATAAATCATACAGAATGAGTTTTTTTGAGAAAGTAAAAATGCACAAAGTTTCCTGTAAGGGGTAGGTTTAGGGGTAGGGTTGGTGTAGGGCAATAGCACATACAGTTTGTACAGTATAAAAACCATTACGCCTATGGAATGTCCCCATAAAACATGGAAACACAACATGTGTGTGTGTGTGAAATATAACCCAGGCACACTCTTGACAGGTTTTGTGGGATTCACTCACCACTAACCCTAACCCTAACCAGTGTTTTATATGCAAGCACATATATTGACTACAGCTGACGTCATTTTTCACAGTTGCGTTTAGGGTGGACTGCTTTCTCTAAGGTATTTTTATTATTTCTCTTGTCCTGCAGATGATGGGCCGTACTCTAAGGGGAACAAGGACTCGACGGGGCCAGACAACTCGCTCCCATCCAGAAGACAAAGCATCCCAGGTACGCTGACTCTCTTTCTATGCCGTCTGTTTGTGCCCACACAAATCCTCCCAGCTCCGCTCCTTCAGCGTCTTTTGATCTGGGGGATCATGTCTGTCTTTCCCCATTGGGGATGTTTGAGCTCTTCTTGCCACATTGGTTGGATGGCTGTTTGAGATGGAGAACGCTGGGGGTTTGATGGGTGTTGTTAAAGCTTTATCCAGATGTTTCCTGCGGTTCTTGAGAAGTGTCTGTCTGAGTCATTCTGCTAGCTGGAAGCGCTTGCTGATCCAAGACCTCTTTCTTCTTTAAAACTAATTGGATTAGCTGAGTCAACTCAAAGTGTGACTTTGGAAAAGTTTCAAAATGACGTCTTAAAGCAGAACAGACATTTTCAAAGGTTATTTTACATTTGGCTTGTGTTTTAATTTCATTAAACAATATATATTTTTTTTTTTACGAAACCTACTGCAGCTTATTTGATACATGAATCTTCTTAATACAAAACTAATGCTATGTGCATATTTTTAACTTTATATGTGTGTTTTGATATGTGTATGTATATACGTATATGTAATACATTTCATTTATATACTAAATGAGTATAACGTATACTTATTCAAAAGTTTGGAGAAAGTAATCTCTTATGCTCACCAAAGCTTCATTCATTTCCTCAAACATACAGTAAAAACAAAAACAGTAATATTGTGAAATATTAAAATAAAATGGATAAAAACTTTAAAATAACAGCATTTATTTGAAATATAAATATTTTGAAACATTATTAATTTTTGATCAATTTAATGTATCCTTGCTGAATAAAAGTATTAATTTTCTTTAAAAAAAAAAAGACTTACCCCAAACTTAAATTAAGTGAAGATGTTATCTGCATATTTAGCCATTTTTAAATTAAATTAGCCAGAGCAGTTATATAAACAAACATACAAGAGTTTCTGTTTTAATATATGATATGATATGATAATAAGGCATTTTCAGAATTGATTTTATGGGAATAATTTTAATAGTTTGAAAAGACAGAGCTGATTGTGTGCGTTCGGTCCATTACGTTTTTATTTGTGGAAAACATTTTAGTTCCAAGCTGTTCACATTTAAACCCACACAGACATTGGCATGATTAGATTAGACTCTGTGAGAGATTTTGTGACACAGCTGGATTCCAGAAGAAAGTGTAGCATCACAATTTCTGCAGCACTACTGGTGTGTGATAGATGTTTTCTTTCATGTGCCTCTTAGTTTGGATTTTATGTTTAAGAATTCATATAATCACAGCATGAATTGAAGATTAGATGTGGTGTAGCATTTAAAAACAATCTTCAGCTTTCGTAATATAGAGAATTCGTAAAATTTCTCATCTTTAGTTAGATGGGAGTAAATGCAGCTCATTTGCATATCCAAAATAATATCTGAGACCATCTGAGTGATGGAGGGTAAGTGTCATAATAACATGCTGCCGACTTCTGTCTCTTGTGTGTGTGTGTGTGTGTGTGTGTTTGTCTGTTGTGTTATGGCCTGAAGAACTGCGTGGGGTTACACTGGTTGAGCTGATTAAGAAGGAAGGAAGCACTTTAGGTCTCACCATCTCGGGCGGAACAGACAAGGACGGCAAACCACGCGTCTCCAACCTGCGGCCGGGTGGACTGGCGGCTAGGTGAGGACTGGAGCTGAAGTCATCAATGTAACCTCACAAATTCATAACTCATTAGCTGTATCAGCCAATCAGAGAATGACAAAGTGGTCACCTGACATCTCAGAAAAATACCAAGCCAAACAAAATAGGTTAGGTTGCAATTTGTACCTACAGTTTAAATGTGCTAATCTTTGCTAATGTGGCAACATGTAGCAGTTTTGCATTTTAAGCGTGAAGTACAACTTAAAATTGTTTATTTAACTTGAATTATTTTTACAAACGTATGTTTTTGAGCATTGTTCGCATTAACTAAAATGCAGGTAGAAAAAAACTGACAGACGTACTTGACCTGAAAGAAAAAACTGACCTTAGCAGCCAGTTTTTGTTAATGCTCACTAATGTGTCAATGCGTACTTGTTGAGTTTTGTTGCGAACTTAACATTAGTGTTAACATTAACATTAGTGTTTAGAATTAGCATTTTTGAGTTACTGTGGCAGTAACAAACCTAAATACTTAAGTGGTCAACAGAATTGTTAATTTGGTGAGCTAACTTTGCCAACAAGATTCAGACTTTAATTATTCTGCAATTACAGTACATTAGCTGACCTGAAAGAGAAAACTGACCATAGAAGCAGCTAATTTATGCTAACGCTCTCTAATGCAGTAACGTAGTTACATTCTTAACACTAGTTTTTCGCATTATCATTTTTGTGTTACTGTTGCAATTACAAGCCTCAATAATTGTTGTCAATATAATTACTTTCAAATATCTCCCTTATGAAAATTAACCATGGTTTTAATATAGTAAAAGTGTAGTAACTTTGTTTTTTTGGCGTATTGATTACCATTTGTATAACCACAATTTTACCACAAATACCATGGTTAAACCATGGTTAGTGTAGCAAAACCATGGTTAATTTGTGGTTATCATGGTTTACTATAGTAGCCATGATTTGTAGTAATACCATGGTTAATTTTCGTAAGGGTTGTGATACTTAACGATAGCTATTAAGGTAGCTAGCTATAAGATAAAATATGGTTGTGGCTAGAAGGGATTTAGCTATGGCTGGAAGTGATGCAATATCTCGCCAGATGGACAGGAAGAAAGTGAAAGAAAAATAATAATAAAAATAAATTAAATGAACAGACAGCTAGCGAACTAATCAGCCTACGTTGTGGCAACATCCTTTGAACTAATCTCTTAAAATCTCGCCGGATGGACAAGAAAAAATGACAGCGAAGAAGACAACTAGTGAACTAGATTTTGCAAGACTTGCGTTTATTCTGGCTGTAGCTGTATCTCTTCTAGCCATAACCCTTCAACAATTTAACTAGCTAGCGAATTTCTTCAGCAAGATTTAAACAGTTGTTCTGCCATTACAATCGCTGACCTAGAGAAAACTGACCATAGAGGCAACTAATTTATGCTAATGCTTTCTTATGTAGCATCGCGTACTTGTTGAGTTATGTTACATACTTAATGTTTTGTTAAATTACTAATTTTGTGTTACTGTGGTGGTAACAATCCTTAACGTTTAAGTGGTCGATAGAATTCAATTATTTATATACCTTAAATTATTTATAAATATTTTATATACCTTCAAGTATTTATGCTATTAGTTAGCTTTAAATTAAACATTGCAATAATTTAACTAGCTATAGCTAACATGCTTAGCAAGATTCAAACTGTTCTTCTGCTATTACAGTTGCTGACCTGAAAGAGAAAACTGACCATAGAAACACTTCATTCATGCTAACAGTGTGTGGACACCAAAAGCAAAGCGAAAATTTGCGTCACGTTACTCGCTCTAGTTTACTTGTGGGATGTTTTTCTTGTCGCGAATAAAAACATAAAAACAATAAAATCCATTTTCTGATACAACCGGATGTGTCAATAAGCTCTTTGCTGATTGGCTTGCGCGACATCACATCATGCAAATTTTCTGCTCAAGTTGAAATTTTTCAGTTTGCGTGGAAGACACTATTGAGGTAAATATCATGCGTTTGCGGTGAACACATCACACAATTTACGTCATTCGTGTCACTTGGCACAAATTTGCATCTTTGCATTGAATTTGTATGTAATCTACTCACTCAAATAATTAAATTTGCTTTTGGTGTGCACACACCATAATTCCTGCGAATGTAGCAACATGTATATGTTGCGTTATGTTACTTAGCATTAGCATTACTGTTTTTGTGCTACTGTGGTAGTAACAAAGCATCAATGCTCAAGTGGTCAATAGAATTACCTTGAAGTATTTGTGTTATTAAACAGGATTAACTATTAAACTGTGCTATTAAACAGGATAGCTAGATATAAGCTGAACATAACAATTTAACTAGCTTTAGCAAGCAAGATCAAGATCAACAGGTAAGATTCAGCAAGAGTTTGCTGTACTGCCTTTACAGTAGTTGACCAGAAAAAAATGATAACAATTCACCGTAGAAACAGCTAATTAACGCAACACATTTTGTTGCATTATGACATTCTGGAATGCAACAGTGCATAAAACCCTGTTCGTAGGTACAGTAAGTTGTGAGCCATAGAAATCTGATAAATTGTTAACTGAAAAAACTGTTTATTTTTCCTCATACTCACTTTTGATTAAACTAATTTCTGTGATGTGAAAGTTTTCCCATCTTCAGTTGTTTCTTCTTTCCTTGTGGCTGGTATGAGGATGTTATGGAGCACATCTGGGCTGATGACATATTTTTGTCAGGCATCATTGTGCTAGCTCATGTACGCCCAGAGGACAAAAGGGAGTGAATAGCATTCATTTGTCTAATTAGCATCTAAATGAGCATATTTATACTCCCTGTGGGGTGTTCAACAACAGATAAGGAGTTCTCACTTTGCATTTACTTTCCATTCAAAATATAATTATGTTTTCTATGTTTTTGACCATTGACGGAAATTTTCTCTGGACCTTCATATGTTATCTTGTTAATTTCTCTACATTAAATGTTGAATGCTTAAAAAGCTCATTTCATTAAACATTCGAAAAGCCAACTTTTACACTGTTCAACAAAAAATAGTGTGCCAGATATTAGCTAAACTGTTTAATTAGTCTAATTTCAGTAATTACATGATTGAGTTACATTTCAATGTGTCTCAGGAGCGATCAGCTCAATGTGGGCGACTACATCAAGTCAGTCAATGGGATCAACCTGACCAAGCTGCGTCACGACGAGATCATCAGTCTGCTAAAAAACGTAGGCGAGCGCGTCGTGCTGGAAGTGGAGTATGAACTGCCTTCACCTGGTAGGAAGTTGAGTATTCTGACTTTTGCCTGTCTTGTGGCATGTTCCTGTCAATGTAACCCCGGTCTGAACCGATCTCAGACCTCATGAGTGAATATCATCGTGAAAATGTCTTTGCGTCAGTAAGTCCACTTCAGTTTGTGTATATAAAATTATACACAGTAATGGAGAATGCATGGCTGCATGTTGAAAGCTGCTGTGAATCATTTTTGGATGTTAAAATACTTTTTCAGATTTCAACAGAGACATCTATAAGTAAGCCAGTCAGTTATTTTGCAAAGTTGTTAAAGTATTACTCTTGGTTTGAGTGACGGACATAGAAACATTAGCTTTACCAATTTACCAACATGTGATCCTTAAAAACCTCATGCAATAATTTTGATGAATGCAATACCATGATATCAGCGATGGAGGGATATTTTGCCCAGCGATGTGTTTCGCGTTCTCATAAGTAATTTGCTGCCTTAACTACTATGGGGTGTGTTTCCTAAAAGTATTGTTAGCTAACTGGTCGCAATTATAATTGAACTCTGTTGGTAACTGTGGAATTAACTAGCTAGTCACATTTGTTTTCCATAGTATCTTTGTGGCACATCTATTGTCCACATGTCGTACTAACTAGAAACTATGATTCTAACCACAGGTCAGGAGCTGTTGTTTCAGTCACACAGCTTGTTTGCGAATGTTATTTGGAGCACCAAATATTTATACTATGTTGGTAATGATGTAACTTGCAACCATAGTTGGCTAATACTAACAAGAAACTTTGCTTCTAACCACAGTTCGAGAATTGTAGTTCAATCCAAACAACTTTGTGAATGTTTGTTGAAACTGTTAATTTCGGGAAACTGAATTGTTGAACTACAGGTGCATCTCAATAAATTAGAATGTCGTGGAA